TCCCGAGTAGCTGGATTACAGGGGCGTGCCAACACACCCGGCTGATTTTTGTATTTTTAGTAGAGACAGGGTTTCACCATGTTGGCCAGGCTGCTCTCCTGACCTCAGGTGATCCACCCGCCTCAGCCTCCCAAAGTGCTGCGATTACAGATGTGAGCCACTGTGCCCAGTGTTAATATGTGCACCCCTCCAAAGTTCTATACACACAGAGGTGGGCATATTTTATGTTAATGTTACAGAAAATGAGATAAATCAGCTCAATTCTGTGTTCCCAGAATTTTTTAAAAATCTCCCAAAAGAAACTGAAAAGTAAAGCCCTAAACTCCTCAAATTACAGTATATAAAAAATGCTACTTTACAGTTTTTTTTAATTTAACATACCACAAATATTATTCTACTGCAATAAAGAGCAAATCATCATTTTTAGTGTCTAACAGTTCCCCGTATCATCTCTTTTGGGCTATGCTGCTCGTCTTCCTATATAAATTCTAAACACTATCGTAATTTAACCAATCACATTGTTCCCAATTTTCCTACTGTAGACATGCTGTAATAAACAATGTACATCTGTGTTTAATTGGAGGGCATGATATACACCTTTTAGACTTTGATATGCATTGCCAACACCAACCTGCCCTCTAGAGAAAGTGTACCAATCTGCATTCCCACTAACAGTGCATTAGACTGCTTGTAGTCCCATACCCTTGCCTATCTAGGTTTGGGTGGAAATAAAACCCTCCTTTTACTCCCATTAATAGTGAAAGTCTTTAGGATCAATTATAAAAGAGAGCTATTGGCCAGGCACAGTGGCTTATGCCTGTAATCCCAGCATAAGCACTTTGGGAGGCCAAGACGGGCAGATCACTTGAGGTCAGCAGTTGGCGAGCAGTCTGGCCAACGTGGTGAAACCCCAACTCTACTAAAAATATAAAAAAATTAGGCAGGCATAGTGGTGCATGCCTGTAGTCCCAGCTACTCAGGAGGCTGAGGTGGGATAATTGCTTCAACCCGGGAGGCAGAGGTTGCAGTGAGCTGAGATCACGCCATTGCACTTCAGCCTGGGCAATAGAGCGAGACTCCGTCTCAGAAAAAAAAAAAAAAAAAAAAAGAGACAGAGAGAGAGAGAGAGAGAGAGAGAGAGAGAGAGCTAGCTATTTAGCTCAGATTAAGAAAAAAGTATTTGAGGAAAACAAACAACAATAAAACGTTGAGGGGAGAAAATGCGAGGATCCAAATACTTGGAAATTCCCATTCAGTTGGGAGCTGGGTTTTTCATCATCCTGCTCCCTCTTCCTCCTCATTTGTTTGTTTTATTTTATTTGTTATGTTTGACTTTTTAGTCATCATCTTTGGTAAGAAGGGGAAGGAGGGAGCATATGATAGAGAAAATGTGCACCTCCAGCAACGCATCTATGCGTTTGACAGCTGAGATCCAGCTCCTCATTCACCAGCACACCAAGCTCTACCGAGTGTGGTTTTGATAAAAATGGAAAACAACACTTTCAAATGTCTTACCTCCAAAATGATAATAACTAAACTGTTTGCTGACTTCTGCGGCCACTAGCCAATTTCAAGAAAACCAGTATCCACAATGATTTAATATAATCAAAACCTCAGACTGTTTTACCCTAGCACACCAAATGTGACAAAGAATAACAAATACCCATCACAGGAGAGGAGTTAACCTAACACAGCATTCGAAACCAAAGGCTTCGGCAGTTTTAGATATACTTTACATCTGAGACAGAGTTGATTCTTTACATCAACCAGATAAAAATAATTCACTTTATGTTTTCTTTACTTGAACCAGTCAGAATGCCTCTAGAAACAGAATAATAGAAACTGTTAAAAGACAGTAAAGAAAAGTTTAGATCGGGGTGCCAAATCTTTCGGCTTCCCTTGGCCACATTAGAGGAAGAATTATCTGGGGCCACACATAAAATATACTAACATTAATAACAGCTGATGAGCTAAAGAAAAAAAAATCGCCAAAAAAATCTCATAATGTTTTAAGAAAGTTTACGAATTTGTGTTGGGCCACATTCAAAGCCATCCTGGGTCCCATGCGTCTTGCGGGATGTGGATTGGGCAAGCTTGGTTTAGATAATGCTTTCCTTTCTGAACCATTATTTAGAGATCTTTCCAGTGTCCACAGAAAGGGCTATGAATCCAACAATCAAAAGATCACTATTTACGTTTATATTTATAAAATGTAGTATTACTTCAGACCAAGTTGCTGGTTCAGATGGAATAAAAAATAAAAGTGCCACCCCGAGCAGCAGCATCAGCGTCTGCACTGGGTCAACACCTGCCCAGGGGACTTGCGATCCTGTTCCCCACCATTACACTTAACTCATTTTTGCTCTAACCCTGAAGTCATTTACTGAACAGATACTATTATTTAGATGACATGTTATTTCAGAGGCTGAGCAGCTATACTGAACAGAAGTAAACGACAGAAACTAAATTCCTCAAATTCTAGCTGGGGAGACCACAAATAAGTATACAAGTTAACAAATGGGATTATTTCAGGTAGTAACAAGTGTTACACAGACAAGAACACAGAGGATGTATTAGTGGCTTGGTGGGGAAGAAGAAAGCTTCATTTAGGTGGGATAATCAAGAAAGGCTTGTCTCAGGAGGTGATATTTGAGCTAGACTTTGAATAAGATAAAGTCCATCATGCAATCATCTGGCAGAACAATATTCAGGCAAAGGGAATAGCGAAAGCAAAAGAATGGATGCAGGGTGTTTGAGGAAAAGAGGGTTAGAGTGGCCGGAGCCCAGTGACTGAGGGGAAGAAGATGAGGCAGGAAGAGGCCAGATTACATAGGGCCTTCAAGGCCACAGCACAGTCTGAATTCGATTCTAGGAATAGTGGAAAACCATTAAAGGGCTTAAACAAGGAAGTGATACGGCCTGAATTAAATAAATAAATAAATTTATTCATTCATTCACTCATTTATTTGAGGCAGGATCTCGCTCTGTCACCCAGGCTAGAGTGCAGTGGCACAATCTTGGGTCACTGTAGCCTCAACCTCCCGGGCCCAAACGATCCTCCCACCTCAGCCTTCCAAGTATTTGAGACTACAGGCACACACCACCATGCCCTGGCTAATTTTTGCATTTTTTGTAGAGACAAAAAAAAAAAAAAAAATTCCAGCCTGCTGCCCAGGCTGATCTCAAACTCCTGGACTCAAGGGATCCTCCTCTTGATTACAGGCGTGAGCTACAACGCCCTGCATGATGTAAGTTTTTTAAAAAACTACTAGGATGGCTACGTGGAGAATGGACTGCAGCAGACCACAGTGGATAGGCTATACAAGAGATGCTAAAGGCTTGGACTTGGGTGCTGACGGGAAGTGAGAAGAATGGCCAGTGTCAGAGTACATTTCAGAGGTGAACTGACATGACCTGATGCTGAATTAGATGTGGAGGATGGCAGGGGACTGTGGAGGGAGAGGGCAAAACAGGGAAATCAGGATTACTTCCATGCTGGGACTTGAGCAACCAGATGGACAGCAGTTCCATTAACTGATATGGGGAACACTTGGAGAGGAACAGATGTGGCGTGCAGAGCAGGAACAACCAAAGGTTCTGTTTGGGGCATGTGAGGACCAGACATCTAACAGTGAACGTAAGCTGGGTGAAAACAGCATATCGATGATCAGGTGAGAAGAGGAAGAGGGGCCCCAGAAGGGATGAGGGGAGCACCTAGTGAGGGATGAGGATCTTCAGAAGAGGGTGCGGTGAACAGACAGAGAGAAGATGCTTTAAGGAGTAATCAACTGTGTCAAAAGGTGCTGAAGACTGAATAAGATAAGGAAAAAAACCTGACAAGTGGATTTAGCAAGAGAGAAGTAAATTAATAAAGAAACAGGGTAGGCTGGGCGTGGTGGCTCACACCTGTAATCCCAGCACTTTGGGAGGCCAGGAGGGGGATCGCATGAGATCAGGAGTTTGTGACCATCCTGGCCAACATGGCAAAATCCCATCTCTACTTAAAAAACAAAAATTAGCCAGGTGTGGTAGCGCACACTTGTAATCACAGCTACTCGGAGGCATGAGAACCTCTTGAACCCGGGAGGCGGAGGTTGCAGTAAGCCAAGTGCAGTGTAAGCCAAGATCGCATCACTGCACTCCAGCCTGGGCTACGGATCGAGACTCTGGCTCAAAAAAAAGAAATAGGATGGGAAAATATGTTAAAAAGGTGTTTGATTTTGATCAAGCTAAACTAAAAATATATAAAAGGGATAATCTCATAAAAATTACTGAGGTATGCTGATTTATCAGGCTAAATGCTGATTTATCAGACTTCCCTTCTTAAAGGAAGAGGAAATCAGGCTGGCACAGCAGCGTACGCCTATGATCCCAGTACTTTGGGAGGCTGAGGCAGGAGGTTCGCTTGAGCCTAGGAGATTGAGATCAGCCTGGGCAACACAGTGAGATCCCCATCTTTAGAAATCACAAAATTAAAAAAAATTAAACAAAAATTTTAAAAAGGAAGATCAAATCAACGACTCAGAAGACTGTCATTCTGAGTTTTACATTCTTATTCCCTGTGGAAGGGAGCTGTACTTAGTAATAATTATGGAGGTATTCAGGATTTACATTGAAAGAGGAGCAGAGCAGCCCGAGGGCTAAAAGTTTACTTGGCCACCTTGATTGTGATTCATCAAACTCCTAATGTTCTTTTGTTCAGACCAACCCCAAGCTAAAAGTTTTGTTGTTTTTTTTTTTTAATCCAACCCAAAGGACCAAGTGAAAGGGAAAAAAAAACGCCAGAAGAAAGAGGACACCACAGCCATGCCCTTGGTTGGGAGCACTCTTCTGGCACTACAATGTCTTTTCCAAGGCTGCTACTGTTTCACTACCAGACTCCAGTCTGCATCTCACTCCCTGGTCAGATCACTGAGGACAAAATGCAGAAAAGTGATCAGAGGCCCGCCCACACCTGTGCCACTTGCCTCTGAGTCTCTTCCTCACCTCCCACCCCTTACCTGGGTCATTTTGTCCACAGAGACTGGAATTCCGTCGATGGTGAGAGGCGGCAGTTCTGAATTAACCTCCTGTGGCGCAGGGGCGTGTTCTGCCAGAGCAGACTCCAGGTCTTCCAGGATCATGCTCTTGTACTTACGCACCTGCAGGGAATTAAGGGCAGAAGTAAACAAGATGCCCAACAACCAGGGAGGATTGGTGCCAAGCAACAAGAGAGTGGGTGGGGCTGGCCTTCCTGAGTCATAGCATAGCCCTAAGAACAAACACTTCTACAAGCAAATAAAAATACCCACTGGTCCCAAAGACATCATACTGAACAGAATTAAATGAAAAGATGATGAAATTACAGGTAACAACAATAGGAGAAAGCCAGTGGAAAAATTTTCCAGAAATACTGCTTCTCAGTTAAAATCACATTTTCTCAAGGAGGGTGCCATCACCTGTTCCAGGTCTAACAGGCATGGTATTCATGGTTCTGCATTTCCCAGGCCATTGGATGAACAACTAGCTGTGGCAGCTCATCACCAAAATCATTTTCAAGAACTTTAAGGACTTACATTTCTAAAACTCAAAGTAACCAATTCATTCAAAATTGCTGCTACATTCCTGCAAAGTCAGACTACCAAACAGACAGGAGATTCAAGCATACAAGAGACTGGACTGAAAAGAATTAGAGAAAAAAAAAACAAAACCGATAGGTGTCTGTTGTAGCTGAGTGCCACTATTGGTAAGGCCCGGGCCAGAGGGAGCCCCCTAGGTCAAATCTCCCTTGCTTCTGGTAGGGCTTGGTGATAGAAGTGAACCTCCAACCCAGGACGCATTTAGCTCTAGCCCAGGTCGGAACCAGATATTGTTGTTTTTTGTCTGCATTCCCACCACTGCCAGTGAAATGTCTCAACCTAACAGTAATACACTGGACATGCACACATTTTTCTGTCATGAACAGAAAGGGTGGACAGATGCTGGGTCCTCCAACCACCAATATAATGGGCTCTATCAATATAATGGCACTATTTTAGGGAAAAAAATGGAAGAGAAAATGAGGTTTGTCTAGAATTTCCAACAATGTTTGAATCCTGGGTTGTCTGCTGAGTGGGCTGGACTCTACACACTTCCTTATAAATATCTCGTTATGTGGATTAAAAAAGAAAAATTCCCATACTCTACCCCAAGCACCTGGAAAAATAAATATTATTACTGGCTACATAATGCAACTTCTGCAGCTGAAGAATCCTCCAAGAAGGTCAATAACTAAGGGGAGAGAAAAATAGCACAAACTGGTAGACTCATTATCTTTCCAGAGATGCAGTTGTATCCTGGTCTCTAATAAAAAAGTTTCAAAAAGTATTGCCATTATATTTATTGCAACATAAGCAGCTGATGTTGCCACAGCAACTTTACAGGATTGTATTTTCTGCTATGTTCATATATTCTAGACAGTATTTATGCTGCCCACTTACACACACACAAAAATGAATCTTACAAGCCTAGTGATATGGTTTGGCTCTGTGTCCCCACCCAAATTTCATCTTGATTGTTATCCCTACATGTTGAGGGAGGGACCTGGTGGGAGATGACTGGATCATGGGGGCAGTTTCTCCCATGTTGTTCTCGTGATAGTGAGTTCTCACAAGAGCTGATGGTTTAAAAGTGTTTGGCAGTTCCCCTGGCATTCCCTCCCTGCACCTGTCTCTCTGTCTCTCTCTCTCCTGCCACCATGTAAGACGTGCCTTGCTTCTCCTTCTGCCATGATTAAGTTTCCTGAAGCCTCCCTAGCCATGTGGAACTATAAGTCAATTAAACCTCTTTTATTTATAAATTACCCAGTCACAGTTAGTTCTTTATAGCAGTGTGAAAACGGACTAATACACCTACCTTCTTAGGTAGGTGTATTAGTAAAGGACTAATACACCTACCTTTGAAGGTCTTAGAACTTCAAAGTTTATAAGGTTAAATCCTTATATTAGGTATAAGCCAATAGGAAGAATGATCATTTTAGAAAAACAGGCTGTGTGCAGTGGCTCACACCTGTAATCCCAGCACACTGGGAGGTTGAGGCAGGCAGATTCCTTGAGCCCAGGAATCTGAGACCAGCCTAGGCAACATGGCGAGACCCCGTCTCCACTAAAAATACAAAAATTAGCCGGGCATGGTAGTGCATGTCTGTGGTACCAGCTACTCAGGAGGCTGAGGTAGGAGGATGGCTTGAGCCCAGGAGGTGGAGGTTGCAGTGAGCCGAGATCGTGCCACTCCAACCTGGGTGACAGAGCCAGACCTTGTCTCAAAAATAAATAACTAATAATTTTAAAATAAAAACAAACTTCATCTGGCTTTTAGAAACACCTGGCATTCAAAAATGGAAAATCATTAGGTTATTACTTCTTTATTAGCCAGTTTCAAACAATTTCAGCCATTTTTATGAGTCAGTTTATCAGTGCTATATAATTCTTTTAAAATATCTTGTTTTTGTTTGTTTGTTTGTTTTTTAGTGCTGGTAGAGCATCCCTAAGTAATTTGCAACAAAACAACTTCAGGTATAACCAAAGCACTTCTATCTAAGCTTGCTTACTAAAGTTAAATAACTTTCTCAGAATTACTGACCTCGTGTTTTAATTCTATCTGATCTATCAATTCTGAGTTGCATTTTTCTTTCATATTTATCAGTCTTCTGAAACAGGGATACATCTTAAAATTGCTATGGACAAGGCAACAACAGGGCATAGCTGTCACTGCCTGCAGCCATGTGAACATGTTTGCTATCCCTGGCCTTTTTACTCAACAAATCATTTAGCACCATTTGAGAAGAGAATGTGAGTCTTGACCGTTGTCTATAACCTTCCCAATGACAATTTCTGGTAAGATCAAGAAGCACCGCCAGGCGCAGTGGCTCACGCCTGTAATCCCAACACTTTGGGAGGCTGAGGCGGGCAGATCACCTGAGGTCAGGAGTTCGAGACCAGCCTGACCAACATGGTGAAACCCTGTCTACTAAAAATACAAAAATTAGCTGGGTGTGGTGGTGGTTGCCTGTAAACTCAGCTACTTGGGAGGCTGAGGTAGGAGAATTGCTTGAACCCAGGAGGGAGAGGCTGAAGTGAGCTCAGACTGTACCACTGCACTCCAGTCTGGGTGACAGGGCGAGACTCTGTCTCAAAAAAAAGCACTTGCATCAAACCTGTTGCTGCTTGGGGGGGAAAATCAGAGACAATGAAAGAGCACTTTTAAAAGAAATACAGCATTGCCCGTTTTCACGATGCCACAGAAGACAATATTACATGAAAAAACACAGATAATAATGACTGAAACAAGAAGTAATTCAATATTTTCCTTTTTATATATACACAAAAATGATATATGATTAAAAGCTATGTCTAAGAAAGAGCTCTTTCAATGAGTAGAAAATAAAAATTCTAAGTGATAGCATTGTGTCAACATGCATCATTGTTTCTTCTTTCTTCATAGTACACAAATAACAGCACATCTTATAATCAATGGTGTCACAGATGAGATAAAATACAGGTTTGTGTTCCAACTTATGCCTTCTATTCCAAAAACCACAGCTTATGCCTTTGTCACTCCATACCAATATGTCAATTGGTTTCACAACTAAGGTAAACATCCACTTAAAATCAAAATCAGTTACCACTCTCTTCCCCCAATCTTGTATACCACTGCCGTTTGAAATTTTGGAAACACTTATTATCATCAAACACCGTTTACTGAGCACTTACTTTGTGCCAAGCACTACACGCGTTGTCTCAAATAATCCTTACCATAATTCTACAAGGAAAATATTATTATACTCATTTTGCAAATAAGAAAACTGAGCCTTAATAAACTTAAGTAACTTTCCCCAAATCATATTAACTAGTAAGAAGTATAGCCAAAAATCAAACAAATTTTTATCTAGCTCCAAAGCTGGTATTTTTAGCCACATCACTATCATTTATCTTTTTTTCTCTCAAGAAACTGCTATAGTTCCCCACTTCTTATAAACAAAGTCCAAGTTTCTCTGGCCAGCATTTCAATCTTTCCAATTATTTGTTTTTTCAATACTCTTCTGCCAGAGCCACCAGATACAGTTGTGCCTGCCTAACCCTGGAGACTATGTGAATGACACCTCTTGAGCTCCCAGCATACAACCTCCATGGAGTCCTATATTGAGCAACTTTGTTCACTTTCTTCCTTCTTTAGCTGCCCAACCTCGTCACTCACCTTGGCATCTAGCAAGTTCTTTTCTTTGAAACTTCTAGAGACCATTTTTTTTTTATTTTAAAAAGATGGAGTTCCTCTCTGTTACCCAGGCTGGAGTGCAGTGGCGTGATCTCGGCTCACTGCCACCTCCATCTCCTGGGTTCAAGCAATTCTCCTGCCTCAGCCTCCTGAGTAGCTGGGATTACAGGTGCCCGCCACCATGCCCAGCTATTTTTTTATATTTTTAGTAGAGACGGGGTTTCAATGTGTTGGCCAGGCTGGTCTCAAACTCCTGACCTCAAGTGATCCGCCCACCTAGGCCTCCCAAAGTGCTGGGATTACAGACATGAGCCACCACATAAATCTGCTTCTTACTCAAATATTTTCCATTTTTCTAGGATCAGTTCAATTCCCACTTGCTCTGAAAAAACTTCCCAATTATTCTTGCCATAATTCTCTTCCTCCTTTAAATTCCTACTGACACAAATAAATACGTGTCATTTGTACCGTTATTTCTGGAATACACTATACACAACCAGTGCATGACACTGCTGAGCACAGGGACCAGGTCTTTTGCTTATCTTACACACACACACACACACACACACACACACACACACACGAATGAGACAGGCTCTTACATGTTGTCCAGGCTGAAATATTATAAAATATTTTAAATATACAAATACAGGTAATACATTAACAAACATTTTATGATTGCCAGAGATGGAGGGTGTTTACGGTATTTGCAGGAGCCATTAGAGTTTTATTTTGTTTTGTTTTTTGAAACAGGGTCTTGATCTGTCACACAGTTTTGTTCACTGCAGCCTCAAAATCCTGAGCTCCAGTGATCCTCCCACCTCAGCCTCCCAAGTAGCTGGGATCACAGGTGTGCATCACCACACTTGGCTAATTTTCAAAATGTTTGCAATAAGGTCACTGGGTTGGG